GTGTGCTGATTTAGTTTCTTAAGGGCCTACTCACAGACTCAATGACAGACCGACACTGATAAGAAGACACCTGACAGCACATCAGCTCACAGAATAACTCCACCACTCCAAAATCAGCATCCTACACACCTTTATCTACAGTACCTGAGCGAACGTCCTAGGCCACTACTATTAACAAGTCAGTTGGTTTATTTAGTATACATGTAGTCATATTTGACTCTGAATGTTCTGTCCTGAAGATGACCTCTAATAAACTCTCATGGAGATGCGGATCAGGAGTCCATGTGTTTCCACCCACTGTATGAGCAGTAAACCTCTTGTAAAACCAGTAAATGATTAGACAAACTCTTAATAACTCATTCTGAAAGGGCATATGTATGCTGCTGAATGCTTCATATGCTGTGCCCATATGACCTCTTTAGGCATTAGTCTTTCCTTCGTATATAATGGAGATGAACCCCTGCAGGAGTCGCTGTATACAGAAGGGTTAGACAGTGAAACTGAAACACTGGCCAATTTAGTGTTGGAGGATTGATGCTGATAACCCTGATTTACCCAGAACACATCAGAGCACAGCGGCCCGACTCACTGCAGAATGACATGTGCAGCTCCACTCTCCTGTGTCCTGCTGCTCTGGAGCTCCACTGGGTCAATATACACGACCCAAACCTCTGCTCACTCCTGCCCATGCTAAACGCCAGCTTCAGTGGAGCATTGGTGGAGATCTGGAGCTGTGGATGATGTGGAGCATGTGCTGTTCTCTGATGATCCAGCTTCACTGTCTTTCCCACATCCGGGAGAGTTACGGTGTGGAGAAGCCCCAAAGAAGCGGCCTACCCAGACTGCTGATGCCCAGAGTCAAGCATGGGGGGTCAGTGATGGTTTGGGCTAAACATCATGACGTTCCCTAGACCCAATACTGCTGCTAGAGGGATGCTGAGTCACTGCCAAAGACTACCCAACCATTCTGGAGGAACATGTGACCCAATGGGTCAAACATGTCCTGAAGGCAGTGCCATGTGTCAGGATGATGATGCAGCAGTACACACAGCAGGACTGGAGACAGAGCGGTCTGATGAACATGACAGTGAAGCTGAACATCTCCCATGGCCTGCACAGTACCCAGATCTAAATATTATTGAGCACTTTGGGCTGCTGTGCAGCATCACAAAGTGACCTGAGAACTATTCTGGAGAAAAATGGCTCAAAATCCCTCTGGCCACTGTGCAGGACTTTATTGTGCTCTAAAACCAGGCCTTTGTCCAACCCGTCCCATCTTCCAGCAATCCAATCATTTACTAAAGACTGAAATCATGCACCGTCCTACATTTTGTTTCTGATTTCAGGAGTTTCCAGTGGATATACACCATGTGAGAGGAAAAAAGCACAATCTTAACTCAGACTTCATGGCAACTTTGATGAGTCTTGAGTCTGCTGAGGAGCTTCAGATGGAGATTTGTGTTCTGTGTTTAATTTATGATTAAAGTTGTTGCATGTTCAACACTTCCAACCTCTTCCTTCCTTGACTGAGTGTGAGTTTGAGCTATTTCTGAATTAGCATTTCACGCATTTCCAGTGTAAACGCAACACAGAGGAACTAAAACCCCCCGCCAGCCTAGGGAGTCTGATTATGGAGCAACACACAGATGACGCAGAGGTATAAAGCAAGACACTCGGTCACTCAATGCAGAAGTATAAGTCCGCCCTTCAGCTCAAGTGCTGATGAAGATGGTCCAGCTGACCTTCAGTGAGTCGCTGTTGAAGCAGGTCCCGGTCTCGCTCTGTTCTCATTAGTCACTATAACTGAAGGTGCCCTCAGTATCATGCATTACAGAATAAATACACATGAGTTTGACTGCTTGTGCACGAGCGGAAACATCTCCTGGACTCATTCAGTGACCAACTAGTGGACACGGCTTTATGAAAGACATCCGGCACATTCTGAACCTTTCCCTCCACTCAGAGTCAATGAACTCAGAGCTAAATGACCCTCTCTGCTCCTTCATCCACAACCAGTGTGTAGAGCGTGACCAGCGCACACAAACCCAGCAGCACTGGAGCGGACATCACGACTCAGTGGTGTGAACGCTTACAGAATACTGTAAACTGCATGCAAACAGGACTGAGCTCTGCTCCTGACATGTAAACATTATATTGCGATTAAGCCTTTACTCTCATCACTAATCGCCTTCCAGCACAAGTAAAGGCAGCGGATGACTTGTCTGTCATTGAGTCTGTGAGTAGGCCCTTAAGAAACTAAATCAGCACACGATTATGTGTCGTTCACAAGCTGCTGAACATTACACTGCTGGTTACTCTATAACTAACTTTCCTGATCTGATCTGATCACCGCTTGCTTACTGCTGTTGAGCCTTGTGTACTTCACTGAGTCGGTGTGATGCTGAAGGGATTGATCACGCAGGACAACTGATGGAAGATTGGCCGAGACGTTTCAGACTGCCCTGTGAATATATTATAATACAGATATACAGGATTTGATTTTGATAAACACTAGGGCGGCTGTATGTTCTTCATTGAGGGTCTCGAGAGCGGTGCGTTCATCATCCTGACAGTGCAGGAACTTGAGCAGCAGTCAGCCTTGCTGGACCATCATGAGGAGATCTGATGTTCACACTGAGGGTCTGGACACCTGCAGAACACTCCTTCACCTGAGGAATGCTCGTTGGTGGTAAAGGGCTCACTCACGGGGAGCAGACCAGAGGCAGCAGGACTGACCCCAATCATCCCTCCTGGCTGATGGTCTGAGGGTTGAGAGCAGTCAGGGAGTGCAGGGTAATGGTGAAGAGGCACCAGTGGAGTTATCTCTGTCATCAAGGGCTAACACTGGCAGGAGTGGCCCTCACCCTAGAGGCCTCGAGCCAGGTTCTGGAGAGACCTCCACACATGTTCTAGTAGATCTGCAGTCCATGCAGTCTGACACTGAGCACTCAGAGCACTACACTTGCCTTGCTCCAGGTCTTTAGCCGCCCCAAGCTCTCTGAAGACAGAGTTTTACAGCCCTGTTCTTCTAGAGGGGTCCAGCAGGAGGAGGCTGTACTGTGTTAGTATGAGCCTCACACTGTGTGATTTTCCAACTGCTGCATTTACTTCACATTTTAATCAAGTGTACTATTTGTCTGTGTCTGTCACCCCCTGCTGGACGCATCAGGAACAACAGGGACACAAGACTAGGCCTGGGCTGTACATCAGTCTGGCTCCAGCTCTGCTGCAGGGACAATCAAGCTGAAGCTGAATCTGTCCAGCACAAACTGCTGAGAAGACAAGAGGCCAATACTGAGTTATTCCCTAAAAATAAAGATTCTCACAAAATGTTGAGGAATTCAGTTAGTTATCCCCGTGATAAAGAAAGGTGGACGTGAGTCGAGTCATCTTTATTTCTATAGCACTACAGCACAGGTGTCAAACTCAGTTCCTGGAGGGCCGCAGCTCTGCACACTTTAGTTCCAACACTAATGAAACAGCCCTGATCACACTAATGGAGTTCTTCAGGCTTGTTTGAGACCTACAGGTGAGTGTGTTGGAGCAGGGCTGGAACTGAACTGTGCAGGGCTTCGGCCCTCCAGGATCTGAGTTTGACAGCCCTACTCCACACTGTAAAACTCAAAGCCAAGAGTGAACAGGCAGATAAAGCCAGATGAAACTGAAATCTGGTGTGCGTGTGGGACATGTTCAGCAGAATAGCGGAGGGGTGCTGGTGTAGTTTCAGCTCAAACTGACCCGGTCCACTGAAGAGCAGCTCCACCGGCACAACCCCACAACCAAAACAGCACCGAGACAAAGCCAGAACTCCAGCGACTGACGCAAATCTGGGGAAATCCGGCTCGCTCAGGGACTAGGTCTAAACCAGTGGAGGTCTGCAGTTCATCAGCAGTGGGTGACAGCTCCATCAGTGTGTGACGCCTGTCCTTCAGGATACAGGTGGAGGATTTCAGTCTTGTCCAATCACTGAGCTCTCTGCTGAAGACCAGAGCCAGAACCTCACCGCCCACAGAAACTGCTGATCTGCTGGGATTTTCACGCACAACCATCTCTAGGGTTTACAGAGAATGCTCCGACACAAGGAGATCTCCAGTGAGCGGCAGTCCTGTGGGCGCAAATGCCTTGTTGATGAGGCCAGAGGAGAATGGCCAGACTGGTTCTGTTAGACCTCTATTAAATATCTATTAAAAACAGATATGTTTGCTGGGGATTGTGCCATTATAACAGATCCACACCTCTGACATCTGGCAGGAAGCATGTGAACTGATGTGGTCATGTGACATTGTCATTTCAATAAAATCTATTTATTTTCCAATTTAAAAGTAAAATTTCTTGCACAACAACAACAACAAAAACAACAACAACAACAACAACAACAACAACAACAACAGCAGCATTATTAACGCAACAGACTCGGCCACAATGGGTTAATGAGGCTTGTTGCCATAGTGTCCGGGCACGTGTGATGTGCGCACGCGCGGAGCTCCATACCGGATGTTGACAAACCGTTTTCGTGTGAGGCTGTCAGACAAACGGGGAGAGAAGCGAATCTGCTCGATTTCTCTGAAAACAGGCGACAGAAACGGTGAGATCACGGTCACACGGTCTTCACACATTCAGTTAGAGAAGGCTCATCACTCTGATGATAATCTGAACCGCAGAACTGCTCTCTCTACACTAGTCCACACACGGCGACTGCTCATGCGTCTGTGCGCGCTTGTTTGCCGATGTGTGTGTGCGTGTGTGTGTGTGTGTGTGTGTGTGTGTGTGTGTGTGTGTGTGTGTGTGTGTGTGTGTGTGAGTGTGTGAGTGTGTGTCTGATGTGTGTGTAATGTTAATATTGAGCTGAAGTTGTTGTATATTCGCTCATTAGTTCTCAGTGTCAGCGTGTGCTGCGCTCGCTGTGTTGTTTACAGTACTGTGAATATTCCGTCTGACCCGCCTGAAGCCCAGATCAACATCAACACTGATAATTAACTGACTGTCAGCAGTGTTCTGCTCTATAGTCACTCACTGCTGATATGGGTTCACTTTTAATATTTATTCACCTTCATCCCTCTTTTTCTCGACTTTACCTCAGTGTGTTTAGCTGGTGTGTGTGTGTGTGTGTGTGTGTGTGTGTGTGTGTGTGTATGTGTGTGTGTGTGTATCTTTATCTGTTTTTTCATGCTGTCTTCATGCTATGGTGTGATTGTCATGGTGACATACTAAACGTGTGTGTGTGTGTGTGTGTGTGTGTGTTTCAGAGTTGCGATGGGTCGAATCTTCCTGGACCACATCGGTGGGACGCGTCTGTTCTCCTGTGCTAACTGTGACACGATTCTGACCAACCGCTCAGAGCTGATCTCCACACGCTTCACCGGCGCCACCGGCCGCGCGTTCCTCTTCAACAAGGTCAGCTTCAGCAGCACACACACACACACACACACACACACACACACACACACACACGTCACAGCTATATTTAATGCAGTATATGACGATGCAGTGAAATCATACTTTGAGAAGGACAGAGCACTGATGAAACAGACATTGATGAAATGGCCTGCACAGAGTCCAGATCTGAATATTGTAGAGGCGGCATGAGCTTCACCTGACAGCCCTAATGTGATAAACTCAGGCAAGAGGTGAAGGACGCCTGATGATGAACATATTTCAGAAAACTCACAGAAAGTCTCTAGAAAACAGGTGTGAATGTGCTTGGTGCAGAAACGGGTCCTGTTCAGCAAATTCACCTGATCAAGTCATTTTTCTGTGATGCAGCCTCTAACAGAAGATCAACTGAAGATGAAAGTTAAATATGGATGAATGCGTACAGCACTGTGTGAACATGACCATGCTGAAGCCTGAGCTACAGATCATCACAGATAGATCTCCAGTTAATGAAGCTGAATAACACTAGACGAGTCTCTGCTTCAGTGGCGTACTGTCACAAACACAGCAGCATGTGTAAAACACACCAAAGAAATGCTTTCACTTTAAATTAAAGCCTAGTCTGATCATGAAAACAAGCAAATTCTCCTTTCATGAGTAAATGTCATGACTGATATACAGTAGCTCCAGCACAGACGCAGCTTTAGATGACTCTACGTGATGCGTGATGCTCTGTTCTAGTGAAGCGATCGGCCGTTGTTCACTTAAAGGTGCAGCGTGTACATTCTTCAGTATCCACAGTTTGTGGTCAGGTGTTTGAGAATCGAGCTCGGTGATCATATGTGTGTCAGTGAAGAGCAATGCTGAGGTCAGACATTCTGCTTCGTGTGTTCAGTGTGTTTGCTTTGCTCTCTATAACCCGCGTCTGCCAGCTTACCTGTGTATAACAGCACCCGGGTTGCCAGATGGAGGAAAACAGCGCATTTCATTTCAGCACTGTAGAATCTGCATGCAGTCTTGATGATGCAAGCTGAGACGCATATCACAGAGATGCAATGTCAGACACACTGCGCTCAATATAGTGAGTGATGTCACTGTGAGGGGCGGGGTTAGTGAGCGTCAGTGTGTGTGGTTGTGTCTGAAAAAGCGCCCTCCAGTGGCCAGCAGCAGCCCATGACATGAGACCGACTTTTAATGAGCAAATAATATAAAGCTCTGGTATTGTGTGTGTGTGTGTGTGTGTGTGTGTGTGTGTGTGTGTGTGTGTGTGTGTGTTCAGGTGGTGAACCTGCAGTACAGTGAGGTGCAGGACCGCGTCATGTTGACGGGCAGACACATGGTGCGGGACGTCAGCTGTAAGAACTGCAACAGTAAGTTGGGCTGGATCTATGAGTTCGCCACCGAGGACAGCCAGCGCTACAAAGAGGGACGCGTCATCCTGGAGCGGGCGCTGGTGCGGGAGAGCGAGGGCTTCGAGGAGCACGTGCCGTCAGATGCATCCTGAACACACACACAAACACACACACACACACACACACACACCAGCACACTGTGAGCGGTTTCTCACACACAACCACACGCATGTAAATAAAGGCACACTCGTACTTCGACACACACACACACACACACACACACACACACACACACACACACACACACACACACACTGTTAGACACTCTGCACACTCTCAAACACTTACACAGATAAACAGACAGACACACACACACACACACACACAGACAGCAGGACAGAGCATCAGCACACTCTGGGTGACACAAACTGTGTGTGTGTGTGTGTGTGTGTGTGTGTGTTTCAGCTGGTTTCCTTCATCTTCTGCTTCTGTGCTAAACTCAAACCAAACTGCAGACAACAACACTGCTTCAAACACACACACACACACGCACGCACGCACACACACACACACACAAACACACACACACACACACACACACACACACACACATAATGACCAGACGCCAGAACACACACACTCAGTCCTGCTGTCTGCTCCGGCATGTTCCTCTGCAGTGTGATGAGGCGTGCAGTTCCTGTTGCTCCTCTGGTTCTGTAAGTCCAGCAGATCTGGAGCTCTCAGTAGATGTTCGCTGTGTTCATTTGACTCCAGCTCAATAAAAGCTTTATTCAGTGTTGATGCTGTCGACTGGAAGATCATTCACTTTAGTGTGTGTGTGTGTGTGTGTGTGTGTGTGTGTGTGTGTGTGTGTGTGTGTGTGTGTGTGTGTTTGTGTTTGTGTGTGTGTGTGTGTGTGTGTGTGTTTGTGTGTGTGTGTACTGTATGTGGAGAATATGCAGTAGCTACGGGTTGGAGCTGTGGCCCTTCAGGAATTGACTTTGACACCTCTGATCCAAACACTGTATTAGAAGAAAGAAGCCCTATTTCATTGACTGACATTTACAAAACCCAATAACACCTGAGACATGAAGAAATCAAGGGTCATTGTAGGAGACTAACACCTCCACCAGGCGGCAGCAGATATCCAAGAACAACTCATTTGGTTTTAGGCTCATCTGCATTCTGATATACAGCAGATATCCGCTCCTTCATTTGATTAACATTATATAATACGTATATACTTATAAACCTCATAGAGACACAGTGAACGTCTCTAATGTCCTCACAAAGACAGTGAAACAAGCCTGGGTGTGTTAAATGGTTGACTTTGTCTTCTGCAGTCGAGTACAGTGCTAAAACATTAATAATAACAATCATCTTCCACTTAAACGCACGAATACAGATTCACAAGACACTCATAAGAGATTAGGAGTGTTCTAGTTTATTATTGATGGTGTCTCAGTAATACAGTGTGTTGAACAGTGAGTACAGTGAGATGAGTCTGGGAAAGGCAGAGTGTATCTGACTGACGCTTGATCTGGTGTTAAACATTAGAAATCAATAGACAGATCCCGCTATAGATAGAGAAGTAAACATGAGCTTAACAGATTGACACAGAGGCGAATGCACACTCTCTAAAGCTCCTGTGAGCATTGTGGTGCTGATATTTCTCTGGAAATGTTTCCCGATATATCCCGGCTCAGGTCTGTAATCCAGCTAATCTGCAATCTGCTGCGGCTGGAGTGTGTTCAGGTGAGAGTCTGCCGGCTCCGGCTCACATTCAGGCCTCGTCCTGTGGGAAACACACAAACAGAACCTCAGGAAACATCCAGACAAACAACACTGCCGGGCCGGTAAAGGCTTTATGCCGTAGATTTAACAGAAGTAAACTTCTCACAGTTCAGCAACGAGTCCTGCAACCCTGATGAAGCTGAGCTCAACACGTAAAGAGGAGTTCAGCATCCGGTCTGCAGGGATCTAATATAAGCTGAAGAGATTTCATAACACATATGTGAAAGGATCATGTTCAGTGGGATCTAATGCTGCGTTTAGGACTGTTTACCAGTCAGTTCAGCCCAAATAAATAAGTTTACTCACTGTGTCCTCTCCCTCAGGTACGTTTAAACCTTCCCCAGTTTCTTTCCCCTGTTCAACACTACAGATGGCATTTTAAAGAAAGATGAAAACCTGTAACCATCCACTGGGAAAAATGCAGTGGAAGTCAATGGTTACAGGTTTTCAGCTTTCTTTAAATGATCTGCTTCAGTGTTCAACAGATGAAGGAAGCTGATAAATGTTTATAACCACTTGAGCGAGAGTAAATGACGGCAACATCTTTATTTTTCAGAGATCTGTCCCTCTGCTCCACACGACACCACATGTGCTTTTCTAATCTGTTTATTAATTAATCAAATACCATTTGTGCTTTCAAGAGAGATGAAGAGAAAGACAGATAGACTCAGGGATAGACTGAGATTGAGATAGATAGATAGATAGATAGATAGATAGATAGATAGATAGATAGATAGATAGATAGATAGATAGATAGATAGATAGATAGATAGATAGATAGATGATAGAAATTTGGATGGACAGACGCTTAGACCAATAGACAGACAGACAGAGAAAAGGACTGATGGACAGTGAGATGATGGATGTATGGACAGACTGGGAGAGGTGTACAGTATGTAGGCCATGCTCCTCCTCCTCCTCCTCCTCCTCCTCCTCCTCCTCCTCGTCGTCAGCACAGGTGAGTGGTTGTTGTCAGTGTTGTCTGATGGTAATCTGCAGGATTAGCCTGAGCTGCACAGATTAAACTCTCAGCACACACACAGCTGACATCTTTCTCTTTCTCTTGTGTTCCTCTGCTTCTATTCATGATCACAACATGATAAGTCTTTAACCTACAGTCATGAGCAATATCCAGACAGACAGAACAGGCTCTTCCTGAGCAACTCAGTACAGTTCACTGACCATTCAGCAGCAGCTTATTAGAGATGCACACTGTCAGCACATTACAGACACGACCAGACAAAGTGTTGTTCCTCTGGGTTTCCCCTGACTTCCCGAAGTAAACGTGTGTGTGTGTGTGTGTGTGTGTGTGTGTGTGTGTGTGTGTGGTGTGTGTGTGTGTATCAGCAGAACAATACTGTCAGATATGTTGGCATAACTTGAGTCTCGTAACACTGCCTTCCTGAACTGAACTGTTAAATCATTTAATTTGCCAATCTTATTAATAATCATGTATATATTCTGCCATAAATATCAAGCTCTTACAGGGTATTTCTGCTGTTCATATCTTTAATTATAGGGCAGTGTAATCGACAGAGATTGTGGATTCTCTTTCTCAGGATGATTACAATATTATAACTCAATATATCTATATCTGCAGCTCTTCAGTGCTAGAGTAGTCTTTAATAAATCAGCAGTGTGTTCTGATTGAACAATAAAGCACTGTTATACACTGGATTTTCTGTCTGTGTTTATTTTGGTCTTGACGGTTTGAGCGATCACTCTGGCTGGATTGAGCATGTTTGAGGACATCCCTGTACAGCGCTGTGTGTTTGACTCTGCTGTTATTAGTGTACGGGCATTAATAAACTGTGGTTCAGCGCTGTGTGTTTGTCAGCCCTGACTCAACTCATCCAGTCAGAATGTTTGTTTGAGAATAACATGTTCATCTTCACAGAAATGCATTCAGTGCATCACCCATCATCACAGTACAGTGGAGAGATCGCTCAGCCGATTCTGTCATCATTACTCCCTTTTACCTGTGTGAATGTCTGTCTTGTGTTAAACACAGAAGATGTTTTGAGGGAAGCCGGACGCCTGTAACTATCCTATCATGGAGCTTAATAGTTTTCAGCTTTCACACCGGACCACCAGGAACAAGTTTGGTGAGCCCTGAACTAGCTGATGTAGTGTCTGTATTAACACAAAAACCCAGTTGACTAATGCAGCTCAGCGGTCCTCCACCTGTCTCTCAGCAGCTGCGTCTGTTCTGTGTGTCTGTAGGCCACCCACTCTAAATCCTCAACCTAATCACACCTGTGTCATCGCATGGCTTATATATAGAGGAAGTAGAGCTGGGTGATGTTGAAGACAAATGAGATACGCAATATATCTGAATGTGTGATATGTGATTCAATATTTTAAAAATATTAATAATGACCGAGATATGTTTGATATTACTTCAGGTAAAAAGGAAACGTCACTGCTGTTTATGAATGTGAACAGTCAAGTTTTACTTGACTTATTAAATATTATAATGATGATTAAATACGTGTCGTCGCTGCTATAGCCAGAGCTGGACAGAGTGCTGAAAAATCAAAAGTACTATTATCTGAGGACAACACTGCTTTAATGCCCAATAATGACGTCAAATGATGATGATATTTGGAAAGTGACCAAAATCCAACACTGAGTCAACATCCTCACCCAACATCACACTGACGTCACATACTGACATTTATTCATCAGGTCTGGCAACCAAAATCCAACATCTGACAGACGTCATAGTGGTAACGTCCACACAACGCCAAGCTGTACCATCATTAGACGTTGATATTTGGTTGATCTTAGGTTTGACGTAGGATTGACAAACAGTTGCTGCAATTCTAAATCCCTCATGTCTTGAGGTAGTTCAGTATGAGGTGATTTACCTTCTATGTGTGATTTGATTGGACGGGAATCACAGGACTGATTTCTCTAATCCCTATAGACAAAACAATATGTGAAGTTTGTTTATAAACTAATTTCGAGAGGATCATGTGCTTATGATTTATCACGGCCGGTCTTGTATTAGCTAATCATTATCTTCCAATCATACGAGCCCTAAGCTACTATAATTAACCACAGTTTTCAGTCCACTTTATCTTTGTTTGGAAGAAACCCCCCTTCCTCCCCAATTCTCCTCCTTTACCATTGATCGGGCGGCGCGGCGGCCCAGTGGTTAGCACTGTGAGCCCCACAGCAAGAACACTGCCGGCCCTGGTTCTGCCAGCCCAGTTGGCATTTTTGTGAGGGGTTTGTATATATTTGTATAGTATAGATACTGCAGTAAACTGTGCTCAAGAGAAAGTAAACGTACACATTTATTAAACTACTTAGTCAATTACAATTCCTGAGAAACACTACTCAGTTACAGTCATGAGTATTTGTGTTTGTTACTGGACCCCACGGCCTATACTGCAGCTCTATCAGCCTGAAAACACCAAGAACAACCAGGTGAGCCAAAGCAGAGTGCAGGTATTCTTTACACTCTTATTGTTTTCTTAAAGGGCCAGGTCAACCAAAACTGAACCTTCTGACATCATTTCCTCATTTTCATCATTCTTCTGTTGAGCACAAAGGGAGATGCTGAAGAATGCTGGAATAAAAACAGACAGTGACTTGCACAGTGTTTTTGATTCTGCATGTAAGTCAATGGCTGAGTTGTTCTTGCATTCTTCAGTGTTTCTTCCTTATAACACTGCTTGGTCATCTCTAAGCATTCATTTGGTTGTGTTTGCTTTAAATCCCTCACCGGCAGATATCGTGATATGCAGATGTGTGATATTTCAGTAATGGAGGACACTCACCCATCGCTAGTGGAGTCTGAGGCGTCCTCGATCAGCCCCTCCTGCGCTCTGATGTCCGGCAGTGGCTCGCTGTGGGCCTGTGGGCAGTGACCTGATGGCTGGAGGTGTCCCATTGACACCCTCCCTCTGGCTGGATCTCCCCATGGCCGGGGAAGTGTGGATGTGCATGAGGGGGGCCACGGTTGGTTCTCCTGACAAAACTTGGCCCGGGCCTCTAAATAAGACTGTGAGCCAGGAGGAAGTGTGTGTGGTTTTGCAGATGGAGTCCACCTCCCATTGGGGGGCCAGGTTGTGGATGGGGGACTCGGCACTGCGTGGTGCACACTGGGGCATGAGGGTGGGAGCCGTGTCCTGGAGACTGGTGGAGTGGTTGGAGGATAACACTTGGTGTACAGCGACGCGTTCTCTCCCTCTGTCACCTGTGTATAATCCCGCTCAATGCTGGAGCCCAGGAAAGCATCTTGTCTCGAAGGCCGAGAGGAGCTGATGGAGCAGCGCTGCACGTTGGCCCGGCTGAGTGGCACAGGCTGTCTCTGGGTCAGAGTGCGCTGACCTCGGCATTGCACATCATGAGGCCCTTCTTCAGCAGATGGTCCAGCACTGCTGCTGTACGAGCTGTCCATGAGCATCTCTGGAGGCGGAGGCGGGAGGCTGTCCAGGTCCAGGATCTCAGGTCTGTCAGACAGCAGATGTAGGTCGGCACCGGTGGTCAGCGCTGCTCTGCTGTTCTGCAGAAGTGGCAGACTGCATTTCTTGTGGCCTCTGGCCCTTACTGGTCTTTGGTCTAAAAGGCGTTGTCTTGAACTGTCCTCCACTCCTTGGCTGAAAGTGTTGATGAGCCTCCTGACAGCATTTCGCCCCGGTGGCTCTGGAGTAAAGGTCGGAGGAGAGCTGGGTGGAGCTGCTCTGAAAGGCCCTTTGCTGCCATACTGAAGGCCGTAGTATCTGTCTGCACTGGGTGCCCCTGATGAACCACCTCTGATCTTTGACCGAACACGGCCTTCCGGTAAACAGTTTTTCCTCCTCCAGTGCTGTGCGTGCTGGTTTCTCTGATATCCCAGTTTCTCATGAGGATCTGAGTCTTTCTCTTCGCTGCACAAACACTCTGCAGATTGAGAGCGCTTTGGTCCTCTTAAATGGCGGTGCTTTGGTTTCATCTGTAAAGTGTTGTTGTCTGCTGTTTTCGGCCGTCTGATTTTCCTCTTCAGATAGCTGGCCTTGGCTGGTTCCTGAAGCCCACCCTGGAAAGCAGGACGGCTGGTGTGTGCTTCAGAAAAGCCACACGTTGTCTCAATCTTCTTGTCCTCTTGCACCTCCAGCTCATCTTTGCCACTGGCTTCCTCCTCGGGTTCTGCATCTTCATCATCCTCTTCATCATCCTCATCATCTTCTGAAACTGGCTCACTGGCGTGCTGCTGGTCTAGAGATGCACTATTGTTGAAGGCAGATGTTATTCCAGCATTTGCTCCTGATCCTGAACTCCCCCTGCTGCGACGCTGTCGCTCTGACCCATTCTGACAGTCGTTCTCGGCACCGATGCCGCTGTCCTCACTGTGGAGTGCAGAGTCCTCAGGACCAGGCTTTCTGAAGGCAGCTGCCTCCACATGGCACAGGACCTGCTTCAGGCGCTCCTCAGCCGCACGTTTAGCCAGAAGCTTCTCTCCTATGAGCTCAGACATGGAGCCAAAGTACTGGGCTAGTTCCTGTAGGGCCGAGTCGCTCCGGCATCTGACAGAGTCTCCCATCGAGGCCATGTTCACTGTGGAGTGGAGGAGCATCTGCTGCAGCAGCTCGGATGGCAGCGGGGAGCCGGTCTGGCCATTGGCTGCTGTAGGGGGATAGTCTTTGAGAGAAGCGGGCCATGTCATGTTGTGTCCGTGTTCCCTCAGCAGCTGCTCGCCGTCAGCAGCCAGGTCCTCCAGAGCCTGGTTGATCTCCTCGAAGTGGAGGACTACCGAAGCCACCGTGGTCTGTAGAGAGCGCTGGGTCTGTGCAGCCTGACCTAGGAGCCCCAGGAGAGCCTCGTATTTGGATATGCTGGGGTTCAGGTACGCATAGGCTGCCTGGTGGGCTATCAGTACAAACTCCGCTTTGGCCAGCACATGGGAGTTTTTTCTCAGTCTGGGTTTCCTTTGCTTCTTTCGCTTCACCTGCTTTTCTCTGGTCTTTTTCTCCTCCACTGCTTCTTCCTGCTGTTCTAGGAGAGTCTCTTGTGCTCTTTGCTCATCATGAGAACTGATTATCTCCAGAATCTTCTCAGCAGCATCTTCTCGCACTATTGCTGTGGCATCACAGACTACATCATCTACTGAATGCCTCTTACCCTCAGAGTGTTTTGCAGGTTCCTCTATCTCTGTTTCCGCTAGTTCTTCTGAATCCTCTGCTTTGGACTGAATCTGATCTCCGCCTGACAGCAGGTTGGGGTTTTTCTTGCTTTCTGCTGGCCCAGAGGGTAAAGCAGGCCTTTTACTGAAGAGTTGTCCTTTAGAGGGAGAGCAGCCCATGTTGATGAGAGAATGATCCTCCTTTCTTTTTCAGCAGGTTTGTCGAACGCAGATATGAAGCTCAACTGTACATTCTTTGTCTGCTTTTCCAGCCTTCTTGATTTATTTGACTATATACCTTCTGTCCAGTTGCTGTTTTGTTCCACAGACAGGACAGGATTGAAGCTTAAGTCTTTCCCACACACACATATGCTCACACTTCAGGAGGAAAGCGCATGCGTAAGACTATAAGCTCATCTGGCTAATAAGATGCCCTGCTGGTTACCAAGTCTTATTAGAGTTTACCCCTGATAAACTCTGATTCAATTAAAGTCTGTTGTCTTTCTGTGTTATATATCCATGTTATATGCATAATAATCAAAATATATCTTAAAAATCCTGTGACTTGATTGTTTTGTAAAAAGGGTTAACAATGAAAAACAAGAGAAGCATTTGGTGACGTGTGTTTTGTCCTGGCAGCAGTAGCACAGGGTAAACTGAGTTAAACGTGTCGTGGATCAGGAGTATTTGTAGGAGTTTTCTCTGGACTGAAATCCTCTCCGGGACTCTGTCAGTGATTTCTGCAACCTGCTGTCAGAGATGAGGATTTAATCAGGGTTTATAAACGCTTTACAGGAATGACAATCAGTGGCAGACAATAACAACAATATGAAGGACCAACTCTCAAATCAGTTTAATGAGGTTTATACACACATATTTAACAGTCTGTAAAGAAACAGCTGTACAACAGCAGCATGAAATTGGTTGATTTTTTTATTTATTGTGATCACATAGTTTATTATGACTATTAGTACAACAATATGTAAATGACTCCCTTTTAAAAACAGACACCCTAACCCTGTATAAAAGGTTTAAGACACCACTTAATCATTCTAAGTTACTGTGGATTAATTAGATATAGTTTGACTAAAATATAATTATTTGTTTTAATAACAGAGTTCTGTCAGTTAATTGTCCCTTAACATTTAGTTATTTGTGACTCTGGGATTTTGGATTAATAATGTGCTAAGCATTTCCATTGGACAGTTTTAAAGTTGATTTGTCAATATTTCAATTTCTTTGGACCCAGATTCCAGACTTTCAAATGATATCTTTGTCAAATATCATCCTAACAAAGTTTACATTTAAGTATATTTATTTATTCAGCTTTCAGGTATTGCATAATAATTAAATTGAATAAAAAACCAAAACAATAAAAAAGCACCATTTTAGCAGTTTTTCAGAGATGTGTTGCTTGTTGATCACCCAGAGTATTCAGAAATACTTTATGTGGAAAAAATCTTTAGTTTATTAAAATGTAAACTTAGTTTAAGCCCTGTGTGTTTATTCATTTAGTAATGTGTCTTCGTCTGGTCTGCACACGGTGGGTCACGGTCTGCTCTGCACCGCCTCTCTCTGCATGAAATAACTCCACAGATTTTAAGGCAGGATCTTTGGAAACGGGGCTGATCTCTGCTGATACTTCTTCACAGATGATGCCCGAGACTGTGACTACAGCAATATCTGCACTGGTCATCTCGTCTCTAATGCGTCTGGTCAGCCTGCCTAGGATAATCGCCCTAGAGTTCTCGGACAGCTCCCACAGCACCACATAACACTTGGGGAGAAAATGACAGAACATGATGCCGTAGTTGGAGGCCAGGATGGCTGAGGCCTGTACGATGTGCCGCTGCTCTGTCCTGTTTCTGTCAATGTAAATGGGAATGAAGCAAAGCCAGACGAACAGATGGATCAGCATGCTGAAGATGATGACTCCGGTTTCGTTGAAATCCTGCGGGACTTTTCTGCCTTTAAACGCAAGAAAGAAACAGGTGAAGGCCAGCAGAGCGATGTAGCCATGCATTGCCCCAAAACCTGCAATAGAGCCTTCATTACAGATGACATATTTGATCAAGCCACTTCCTGGCCACAGAGGATCTGGGTAAGGAGACTTTAAAATCAGCCAGAACAGTAGGATGATGGCTTGACCCCCAGTCAGCAGGACCAGGATGATCAGAGGCTTGTAGAGTTTCTTAAGCTCATGCTGCTTTTGTGGATTGAAGACTAGGAAGGCCAGGAAGGTGCGAAAGGCTTTAACCAGGATGCAGGAAACACACAGGGTGAAGCCGAGGCTGTACACGGCTTGCTGTGCTCTGCACAGATGCTCATTTGGTCTGCCGATGAACATGATCACGCTGATGAAGCTGGCCGTCAGCCCCAGAAGCATGAACCCTGACATTGTGCCGTCCGCCTTTTTGATGACCATCGTGTTCCTGTGCACACAGAAGAGGATGGACGAAACCAACACCAGAAGCAGGCCTATAGCAGTGGCCGCTAACAGAGTTATGGGGTAACCATCCGTCCAGAACAGATACTGCTCCTTGACGATCTCACATTGGGTTGCTCCTTTAAGAGATGACTGCCCGTCAGGACACTTCAGGCATTCAGACTGATCTGGAAAAGCAAACATGCAAACAGTCATGACATGTGAGATAGAAAAGCAGCTCTAATGTTTAATATTCTAAAGTCTAGCAGCGATGGGTCCACTAAAGCTGGTGTCCTACAAAGTTTAGCAATACGCCTGCCTATAGATTTCTAGGGTCTGGAAGACCGTGATTAGCATGATCAGTGGTTTTTGATTGGTGTTGGACTCTGCAGGACACCAGCCCTTCAGCACTGAGTTTGTCCTCAGATACTGTCATTAGCTTAATGTTGGGATTTGAGTTTTGCAAAATCAATAACGTTTGTTCTACAGTGGGTTTCCAAAAAAATTGTGGTTATGAGTGCATAACTTCGCTTACTGGGATGTTAAGGGTGCTGTAAGTTTTTTGAGTCTTCTAAGATATCATTTACAGGCCATAATGTGTTGCATATGTTTCAGAAATTGCTAAGTGAACATCTGAAAAACAGTGGCAAAGTCAGTGATTCTGCTTTGAATCGTGTGCTGGGATGTCTGTCTCTGTTTTGATCTCTATAACCCACCCACAGCCAGCTTTCCCAACGACATTTCAGCACCCCAGGTTTCCGGTTTTTGAAAAAGATTGTATTTTATTTCAGTCTTGAAGGCGCCTCAGTTTGTGCATGAATACCCAGTGTTTTTGTATGTGATTTCTCCAGGTGCTCTAGCTTCCAACAAACCCATATGCTATAGGTGAACTGGAGAAACTAAATTAGCCGTAGTATACAAGTGTGTTTGTGAATGATAGTGTGTGTGGGTTTTTCCAGCACTGGCAGTTCACGAGATAGTGTGCTCTTAGTGCTGGGTTGGGGCTGAAAGGGCATCCATTTTGTAAAAGATATGCCAGAGTAATTGGCGGTTCATTCTGCTGTGATGACCCAGGGACTAAGCAAAGATAGTGAGGTTAGGCATTGGTCCTTATTCAGCAAATGCATTTTGCAATGCATTTTGCTCAACTGAAAGCAAGGCCTCTAACATTCAAACCTCTGAATGAAACGCTTAGAACAGCACACTTCCTGCTTAGGAAAAATGGGGTACGCTTTATTAAATTAGATCCAGGGTTTAGACCACAGAACTGAAACACTGGTCAATTTAATATTGGATGTTTCATGGCTAAATGTGAGCAGCTGGTGGTCAATCTTCTTTGATCTTCATCCAACAGTAAGAGCAGAGTGTGAAGGGTTAACGTCTGATGATGTTGTGGGTCTGCTGGGATACTTGACAAGGCTTAATTCACTTATTACCCTTTGAACTAAAAATGCTTCTGTGGAACTGGAATCATGGCAGAATATCCTGTGATGTGCACTTTGTTGAATGGAAAAAACTCTGAAGCAGTTAAGGACTAAGTAAGAACCCAGAGGGAAATGCTCATACGGTTGAATCAGCATGATCACCTGATGCGTTGGTGTAGTATCCCACATCGCAGGGGACGCACTTGTAGCAGCAGGTGATGTTTGACTGCTTCTTCACTGTTCCCGGTTGGCAGAACTGAGAGCAACTGGAGCTGAGGAGCTGGTGGATGGAGGAGTGTGAGTGTCTGCAGTCATCAATATGCACTTTCCACTGAAGGACAGAGGTGTTAGCTTAAAATACTTCAGCACTTACCGTTTCATTGATCCAGTGGTATTCACTAAAGATTTCCACATCTCCTTTTTTAATGAGGAATTTCCCCACAGGCTCAATCATTCTCTCTTCATTATTTTCCTTCCACATTATGACATCATAACCATCCGTGAAGTCACCATTTTCATTAAAGAAATAAGAGTTGCCGTCGAGTGTGAAATTGACTCTGCGCATGCTTGCCACGAGCTGCGAAACAAGGATTAAACGTCAATCCTGTGGTCGTTCATGGCTGTTCAGAACTCTGCAGAATATGTCATTTGACAATGCTAACGTCAACAAACAGTAAGGAGAACTTATACATCAAGGCTTATGCCCAAACTTGTTTTGTCCCTCCTGCAGACGTTAAGTCTCTGAAAGATCTGAGGTCAATATTTCAGCAGTTAAATTATTTTACCTCCAACATTCAATTTATCATTCAGACTACAACTCCCAGAAGCCCTCATTTCTGGGGCTGAGTTCATTCACAGCTGACTTGCATTACATCCCATTATAAATGGCCATTCGTACCTCTTGATCCTCTCTATGTATTGATTTGCCCTGGCCATCATTACTGAGCATTCCTTGTTTGTTTGCCTATCATGGTTTTCACATTCTTGCTGCCTGCCCTTACTTGGATTGTTTATTCTGTAATGTGGTTTTGGGAGCGTCACATCTTTACAGGCAAGTAAAGCTGAAGTCTTGGAGATCTCTGACCCACGCTAATGAATGGTTAATCACTGAGCTTAACCCCAACTGCGTTCTCACCATTATGAGTTTCCTGACAGAGTCTGAGAATCCTCACCTGCCACGGAGGGAAGTTGGTCTCAGACGAGCAGGTGGTGTCGTTGCACTTCAATAGTTCCCTGAGCCCATGTGCTATTGCGTATATGGCCACTCTCTCTCGATAGGCCTCCCTCAGCTCCACTGCGTACAGCACATCATCTGTGGTGCAGTTGGACGGCCACAGCGAGCAGTTCAGCCTCAGCTGCTGGTACTCCTCGATGAAGTCGTTCTTCCCTCCAGGTGTTGGCCTCAGGTTCCTCAAGTAGTCTTCAAACCCTGGAATGTTTCCCAAAGAAAAAGAAAAGCCAAAGATTGGGCCCACTTTGTTGATGTCCTTCATCTGGGTTAGTGGGCGAAACATGGACCA